ATGTTCCCAACACAGACCAGGGTTCCCCATCAGTAGCCCCAGGAACACAAATATTCCCAACCCAGACCAGGGTTCCCCATCTGTAGCCCCAGGAACACAAATATTCCCAACACAGACCAGGGTTCCCCATCAGTAGCCCCAGGAACACATATGTTCCCAACCCAGACCAGGGTTCCCCATCTGTAGCCCCAGGAACACATATATGTTCCCAACCCAGACCAGGGTTCCCCATCAGTAGCCCCAGGAACACATGTTCCCAACACAGACCAGGGTTCCCCATCAGTAGCCCCAGGAACACATGTTCCCAACACAGACCAGGGTTCCCCATCAGTAGCCCCAGGAACACATGTTCCCAACACAGACCAGGGTTCCCCATCAGTAGCCCCAGGAACACATGTTCCCAACACAGACCAGGGTTCCCCATCAGTAGCCCCAGGAACACATGTTCCCAACACAGACCAGGGTTCCCCATCAGTAGCCCCAGGAACACATATGTTCCCAACACAGACCAGGGTTCCCCATCAGTAGCCCCAGGAACACATGTTCCCAACACAGACCAGGGTTCCCCATCAGTAGCCCCAGGAACACATATGTTCCCAACCTTTACCAGGGTTCCCCATCAGTAGCTTCGGGAACACAAATGTTCCCATCACAGATCAGGGTTCCCCATCAGTATCCCCAGGAACCCCAACACAGACCAGGGTTCTACATCAGTAGCCCCAGGAACACAAATGTTCCCAAAGTTTTATATCAGCCCCAGACACAGAACTGTTCCTCTCTTCACAAGGCTGTTGTAGAGGGGACCCATTCATGCTCATCAGATGAGGATGTACAGACCAGGTCCCCTAAAGGGAGAAAGAACAGGACTATTCATCTCAAGGTTTGGCAGTAAATTGTGTAAATATTCACTTGAAATGACTAAAAAACATGAAAAGCAAATTGTTTAATTAATATATATATATATATATATCTATCCTTTAACTAAATCCGCAATAAACGCGCTCTGACTATGATACCGGTATGATGTCCTCTCTCTGCAGACTCACTGGGGGGATGAATTACACAGCTGACCCATAGACTGTGCAACCAGTGCGGAGGATTGGGGGTCACATGACCAGAGTACCAGAAAGCGGGCTCCCACATGTGTTCACAGGACATAAGACGCTTTGTAAATATTTTATCGGTTTTTAGGGAATTTTAGTAAATTGTATGAAGAACTTTCATCTGTGAAAAAAAAAAAATGGAATTCTCTGACTGAAGCAATGTAATCGTGAGATGTCTGTGTGTATAATTGTATTTATTGTTCATGTGTGTCTAGACAATAAAGCATTGTTTTGGATTTTATGACACTTGGTACAGATCTGTCCGATGTTACTTGCAGATGGCGATATTAAAAATGACACGAAACTCAGGAATAAAATCTTAAAAATGCATTCAAGTCCCTTTTAAAAGAGAACTATGGGGGTAACCTTTTTATCCTATAGGTTTCTTAAGGGTCACGGGAGGACATATACTAACCTCCTCCCGGGACCCAAAACTCAGCATATAGGGAGCTATATATACTGAGAGAGCTGCAGCCGGGACGGATACTGACAATGCTGTCGAGATCCACCCAGCTGCGTGACTGACAGCTGGCTCTGCCTATCTAGAGCCAGCTGTGCCCTCCCCGTCCGTTCCACCAGTCAGTGCTGGAGGATCGAAGCGGGGAGGGGGGGATTCCTGCGGGGAGCCGTGACTGACAGTCACGGCTCTCTGCAGGGAGATAATCGGAAAGTGAGCGTGCGACGGTATGTGTTCGCTCACTTCCCGATCTATAGAGCCGACATGAGACAATGAAACTGTCACTCGTCGGCACAGTAGATCGGGAAGTGAGAAAACACATACCGGCGTTCGCTCACTTCTCAATCTATCCCTGCAGAGAGCTGTGACTGTCACTTACGGCTCCCTGCAGGGATTCCCCTCCAGCGCTGACTGGCGGAACGGACGTGGGCAGCTTGAACTACGATGAGTGATTTTTCACTCGCGCCCTAGTTCTCCTTTTAACTCTGAACAGCAATGTATCTTATTTGTGTATCACTCGGCTGTAGATCCTCCAATCATCTCTGACACTGTCCTTCCTTCTGGAGGGGGGCTACGTCTGTTCCCTATGGCCCCTGTGTGTATTCTAAGGTAGTCACCGCTCCAAGCTCCCCTCCCGGGATGGACTACAATCTCATGTTTAGTTTACTCATTTGTATCGAGATTGTAGTCCATCCCGGGAGGGGAGCTTGGAGCGGTGACTACCTTAGAATACACACAGGGGCCATGGGGAAGTAGCCACCCTCCAGAAGGCAGGACAGTGTCGGCACCAATTTAGAGATGATTGGGGGATCTACAGCCGAGTGACACGCAAATAAGAAGATACATTGTTGTTAAGGGACCTGAATGTATTGTTAGGATTTCACTCCGCAGTTTAGTGTATGTAGAGGCATTTGTTTACGTTTTTTGATAAAATGTGGAAGAATTGGACCCTCTTTTCTCTCTGGGGATCCCCCCAATGTGCTATGTCTCCACTGGGGAGATTCCCCCTTATTTTGGATAAATACATTTTGGATTTCTGTCCTGGTTACCACTGTCTCCAGGACAGGAAAGCCAACATTTTACAGTAGTCAAAACATGATCCACTAATCGGAGTCAGATGGTTGGGAGGAGTCGGGTGGATGACGCAGCATTGTGTGCAGTGAAATGTCACCCGGGAGCCACAGAAACAAGACCTTGTATAAAGCCAGCCACACACCTTACAATTATCTGCAGATCTTCTATGGTCAGATGGAAAAAGTGCAACAGATTCCTCCATCTACGCTAAACTGTGTGTATGGAGGAACCTCCGGCTGGGCCGGGCTTCAGTATCTTGCTAGTCGGCCCCGCTGGCTCTCCAAACACCTGAACAATGCCGGCATCCAATCAGAGTGTTCAGGTATTTTGGCAGCCAGCGGGGCCGACTAGCAAGATACTGAAGCCCGGCCCAGATCTGCAGATAATCTATAGGTGTATGGCCAGCTGTAGGCTTAATTTCCTGATATAGAGATTCGTGTCTAACACGTTGCACCCGATGGATGACAAGTGTGCCAAGAGTACAATCTCTAGTCCAAAAGAACCCGATTCTCTTTTATCATCCAGCCCAGAGTATAAATATTACCAAAAGCGACACATTTTCCGTTTTAAAGCTGCAAGGGTTAAGCGCTCATTTTGTCTAGGGGGCTCTAATGGAGACGATACACTCACCTGATCTTCGGTCCTTCCTGGCTGTGAGACCAGTCCCCGCAGCCTCCTATCCATGGGTTTAAGGACCACTGATATGTCTAATGTGGGTCCATTGACTTGCATTAGACACAGGGATGCTGAGTGACATTCCATAGCCGGAGGAGAGGTGAGCGCTAACCGCCCTGGGACTCAGCATCCGGTGAGTACATTGGCTTGCTTTGAGCCCCCCTAGACAAAATGAGTACTTAACCCTTCCAGCCCCATTGCAAGGGCTGGTTTTCTAAGTTCCTGGAGTTCTTCTTTAAGCTCAGTCTTCATACTTCTGGGGCACTACCGATTCCTTCCAAATATATACAAAATACAAGACGAGGACTCGGGCTGGCAGTGTTTTGTATATTTATTGCAGATCTTCGTATCTCAAGCCGAGTATTTACCTCAGCGTCTGTACAAAATGACTTTATAAAAACAAGACTCCGGAGAGTTTCTCTTCCCCCCCAGTGTGGAAATTAAATAAAATCCATTCAGGTAAAAGTTCCATATTACACATCCAGGCCCAGACTAGAGGAATACCTCAAGGAGCATGGCGTCTGTGTGAGAAGTCCCAGATGGAAGCTGTCCTTCTCATTTTAAGGGCTCCATCAGTTTTATTTCTGCTGGCATGAGCTGCCAGGGCTTCCTGATTATGTGATCACTGTGATTGGCTACCACTATAGTCATGTGATCGGGAGCCCCTCCTGACTGTAAACAGTGGCGGGGACCTGTCATGATAGCCCAATCACAATGCTGAAGGCAT